AGCAATTTTGTGGACCCGCAGAACGGCTGCAACAAGCGATGCGACAACGGCTGCGACAAGCCATGCGGCGCCGAACCGGAAACGTGCAATTCTGCATGATATCGGGGAAACAAGAAAACGGCAAAAATGCGGCAATCGTAACGACAAGCAGGCCATGGGCGCGCATCAATGTTGCGGGGACCTCGCGATAATCGGCACGGGGGCATACGCCAACCAAAAAAACAACCCAACGGCAAAACTGCAACAATGTCGTTGATGCGATGTCTGTAGCAGGCAGGCCCGTGCTAACCTGTGGGAACGAAAAAACACACAAAACACAAAACACAGTGCGCTTTCTTTCCCACAGTGTGTTGTTTTTTCCCACCGTGACTTTTTTGTGTCCCACGTATGTGTGTGTGTGTGTTGTGTGTGTGTGTGTGTTGTGTGTGTGTGTTGTGTGTGTGTGTGTGTGTTGTGTGTGTGTGTGTTGTGTGTGTGTGTGTTGTGTGTGTGTGTTGTGCGTGTGCGTGTGTTTTGTCCCACGTGTGTGCTTTTTTGCTCACATGGTGTGCTTTCTCCCACCGGGGCGCAGCGCCGGCCTGCCGGCCCGGCGCGGCCGCCTCCCGCCATCGCCGCCGGGCCGCGCGTGCCGGGGCCGGCCGCGGCAGGGCCGCGGCAGGGCGCCGGAGAGGCTCGAGCACGGGCACGGGCACGGGCCGTGGGCGCAGCGCCGGCCGAGGAGCCAGCAGCTCAGAGGCGGGAGGGCCCCAAGAGCGCCCACAGCAGCGCCTCCAGATGCCAAAATCAGTGATTTTCCTACGATGTTGGCGATCTGTCAGCGTTCTCGCCTCTGCGGCCCAAGCAGCTTCCAAAATCGCCCCAGAACAACCCAAAAGGTCCCCAAGAGGGCCTGGGAGCCTCCCACACCCTCTTGCCGGCTCTTGCGAAGCGACGCTGGTCGACGCCACATCGGCGCTACTCGGCGCCACATCGGCGCTCATCGTCGCGCACCGCGGCTGAATCGGCGCTATCTCATCCACTCCCAGACGCTGACCTAGGCTAGTCGACGCCAGAAACAAAATGAAGAGGGCATACCGGGCTCCCATGATTTGCTACCGAGGAAACGGGAACCGATGCTGCTGCTCATGCTGGAGGGTTCTCTTTGCCACGGCTGGACTCCTCGGCATTAGGTTAGGTCGGGCGTGTCCCCCATACAGGCGGATTTTGGACGAAAAATAAAACAGATTCAGAACATACAAATAATAACAAACAAAATAGCCAAAAAGTCGTCCCCATACTATTGTTTGACTTTTTTTGAATATTCCCCCTGTAGAGGGAGAGGCCCGACTTAAAATTAGGGCCAGAGCGCACCCCAGGGGAGGTCTGGGGAGTGGCGGTATCGGTGCCTTCTGGTTCCCCCAAGGGCGAGCAGGTCGAGCTCACGCAGGGCCACACAGCATCCCATCCGGAGGCCGGAAGCCGATCGGAGCGGGACGTGAGACAGATCGGACTGCATCCTGGCCATCGCTCGGACGTCCATTTCCTATGTTTTATTGGTTTCGTGCGTGGTTTTTTCTCCAAATGATCAAGGATGCTCCCCGATGGTCCTCGCCGAAGGAAAAATGCACACGTCCGAGCGATGCCAAGCATCGGCATGCAGTCGGCATCGAGTCCAGCAGGCCGCGCCAGGACGCTCGGCGGCGCCATTACCAGCATCGGGCCGCATCGGCTCGTCAAAGCATCGGAGCCGAATCGGACTGGGCGGGCCGACGTCGAATCGGATCGACTCGGATCGAAGTGGGCCCTGGCAGGTCGATATATATATATATATATATATATATAGATGTATATATATATTGTGTATATATATATATATATATACTTACTAGGCGCGTTGACTGTGTATATATATATGTATATATCGTGCAGCTGGTGCTTCCAGGCGACCCCGTGTGAGCCCTGCCCTCTGAAGTCCAACCGCGGGGACCCCGCGAGCGAGGACCGGCGAGCAGCGGGCCTCCACGGTTGACGCCCCACCGGTCCAAATCGCTGGGCGGCAGGGCTCGGAGCGTGTTGCTGGCGCGTCTGCAGGCGAGCGCTGGCGTGGAGCGTCGAACCCCCAGGCCGAGAGGACGGTCCGAAGAGCCGCCGGAGAGCACGGCAAGCAGAACGGCCTCGCTCGTGCAGTCGCTCCTGAGGCAGAGAAGACGGCCCCTGATGGCCGCGAGTGTCTGGGACACGTCGAGCATGAGAGGATACACATAAGTCGAGCCGTACATGGAACCTGCGTATATGCCGCCTCGCCTCGCCTTGGCCTCGCTGCTTGCTTACCTCCCTCCCTCCCTCATATTCTTCTCTGACTGGCATGAACAGACTACCTTCTTCCCATCCTCCACCCATCTACAACTACACAATCTTACACGACTCTCCTCTCCCCGGATATGCCCAAAATGTTTGCCCCTATCCGCGCCGTTCTTTTACATACTGCATTTGTGCGACCTGGCTTTTCACATGGTTGCTTCCAATCCGATGGTTCACAGCTTTTGGAAATAGTACTCTCGCTGCTGCGTCGGCCTTATTTTCGGATCGGCGCTATGCTCCCGTCGTTCAGAAAGGCGCTCCCGCCCCATCGTGGCCCACTTCCTTGTGTTCCAAAGGCCTCGAAGGTCCAGCAGGTCTCACACTCCAGCAGGTCTCACAGGCACCACAGGTCCCATGGGCCCCACAGGAAACGCATGTGTCGCAAGCCGTCCCGCAGGTCCCCCACGTACCACCCGTCTGACAAGTTTCACAGGTCCCGCAAGTCCCGCAGGTGCCGCAAGTCTCGCAGGCCCCATCAGGTCCCACACGTCAGACAGGTCCCGCAGGTCCCAGAGGTGTCGCATCTCTCACAGGTCTCACAAAATGGTTCCCCATAATCCCCAGCCCCCAGGCCTTGTGGACGACCCCGCAAAAGGCCCCCGGTGCGTCTGTGTCTCCCTGGCATCCCAGCCATGGCCAAGAAAACGGTTCCGAACCGTGCAAGAGGGCGCCCGGAGAGCCCCACGAGAGCCGCGATGGGCAACAGGGACCCCCAAGACGTCCCAGGACTCCTGCCCTGTCCTCGTCCGAGCGGGGACGGCTCTGACGATCACGATCCTGCCAGAGGGAAAACACGCTGCACAGACATGAAACTTCCTGGATCGGTGAACAAACTGCATAGACATGAAAAACACATGCTAAACACACACACACACATGCATAGACATGAAAAGACAGACTGCATTAGACAGGAAAAACACACTGCATAGACATGAAAAAAACACACCTGCCACAGGTCCGCGCAGTTTTCTTGGATCGGTGCTGGACCCCCACTCCCAGGCACACGCGTCGTTCCAGTGGCAGCCACGGATGCGCTGCCAGGGGGGGACGCCCAGCGCCGACCCAAGAAATCCACGCACAACTCCGAACTTTTTTGCTAATGCCGCTGTCTTTTTCCATGCACTTATGTATCCGAGTTGATACAACGGCAGCCGAAAATCGGCCCCAGGACCACTACCAGAGTCCAAACGCATCAATTTTCCGAGCTGCGTCCAAACGTGGAGACGAGGCCCCCCCCCCCCCCGAAAGCCAACGACCGTTGTCTCAACCCGCCCTCTTCCCAATTAACTATGACTTGGGAAACACCGATTCCAACAACGATGCTCAATTTCACAGACCTCTCGTGGGGTGCGATCTGAGCAAGACGTCGAAGCGAATCCAACCGTGGCGGCGACGGAAAGGTATCCGTACCAGTATCTACTCATAGGATTGACGATGATGGCGCACAGAAGGACCTACTACGAAAACGTCTGGGAACTCGAGCTTCTACTACTACTACTACTACTACTACTACTACTACTACTACTACTACTACTACTACTACTACTACTACTCATAATACTACGACTACGACTACGACTACGACTACGACTACGACTACGACTACGACTACGACGACTACTCATACTACTACTACTACTACTATTACTACTACTACTACTACTACGACTAGGACTACTACTGCTACTAATCATCATTATAATAATTACTCCAGAGAGAACCCCAATCTGTGAATGTCTTGGAAATTATTGATATGGATATTGAGATCGATTGCGAGATCGATCTTGAAACCGATCGTGAGACCGAAACTGAAGTCGACTCAATCAGATAAAAAGTGTAATCGATTCAATGAGATCAATAGTGAGATCGATCGTGGGATCGCTGGTGCGATCTATAGTGGGATCGATTGTGAGATCGATCGCGAGGTGGGTAATGAGAACGATGGTGAGGCCGATCGATAAAAGATCGACCAGGAACCCAAGAACCCCGCAACCCACCGAAAAAGACCCGGAACCCGGGAACGGGAACCTGGGAACCCGCGAACCCGGCTGCCTACCGAAATCAGCCCAGAACTTTCGCCACATCCTTCAATATCCGATAGGACCCCTGCAATGCAAGCGCTGATTGGGGAATAAGAAACGACTACGACTAGTCCGTGCACGTTGAAAAATACCAATCGTACTACTGCGACTACTACGACTACTACTACGACTACTACTACTACTAATACTACTACTACTACTACTACTACTACTACTACTACCACCACCACTACTACTACTACTACTACTACTACTACTACTACTACTACTACTACTACTACTACTACTACTACTACTACTACTACTACTACTAGACTACTACTACTACTACTACTACTACTACTACTACTACTACTACTACCACTACTACTACTACTACTACTACTACTACCACTACTGCTACTACTACTACTACTACTACCCAGTGTCCTCCTTGGACGTGTGCGTCCGCGACAATCGTATGGTACAGTCATCTTGTAACATCTCGTTTCCCCAGCGATATGACCAGAAAGCGCTCGCCACCAAGCATGCACTAGAAGATTTCTGAGTGCGCGCGCCGCACACTTTGGGGGGCGACGCGCGCATAGCGAAAACATGCCTGGGTTGAGACGATTCTTTTTCTGCCGCCGACAGGTACGCCTGCTTCGCCGCCCTCTGCTCGGGGGTTGCTACAAGTGCCCCTGGCCCGTTGTATCCCCAGTTTTTCGCTGCATTGTGGAGCCCCTGGGGCACCTTGGGCCTCGTGAGGAGTGCTCTGGAGGCCGTGGCGCAAAAATCATCCAGGGTAAAAATGACCTTTGGTGCGCAGCTTTTACGGGGCCGCCGGGATACCAAACGCAGGCGCGCAAGACGCCACTACCACATCGCATTCGGCGATCGGGGAGCCCCATTGGGCCCGCTTCGCAGGTCACGCTGGCGAAAAGTCACTCTTAGGTGTAATCGAGCGGGGGCCTCCTTGGACATCCCAGGGGCGCCTTGGGCCAGGGGCACTTCCAGCAACGCCCGATCTGCCTGGCCCGCGCCGTCTTCTTCCGCCTGCCGGCCTCGGTCGCCGCCGCCCCGCCCGAGGCCGCCACCTCGCCCGCGCCGGCGGGCGCCGGCGCCTGCAGCGCGCAGGCCTCTCCGCGGCCCGGGGCGGAGGATCGGGGGAGGAGGACCGCGGAGGAGACGAGCGTGCGCAGGTGGTCCCGATCCCACGGATAGGGCCCGCGAGGCGGCAAGTGCGCCTGGGCGAGGGGTGCGCGGTTGAGGCGCCAAACAGGCTCGCCGAAAATGAAGCAGAGGGCGTCGGCGGCCGCCAGACGCCGCCGCGGGGACCGGGATGGCCACGCCGTCGAGCGGAGGATCGGGGAGGCGGAACATCGGGGAGGACCGATCGATCGAGCGTCTGGGCCACTTCGGGGCTTCTGCTCTGCTTCTCGTGCTGCGCAGCCTTGAAACATGATGGCTGGGCCTTGCTCTATTCACTGTGGAGGTCGCTCGCGCTGCGCGGCGCTCTGGCGCTTCGTGCACGCAGGCTCTCCCCGCGCAGGGGTGCGCGGGCAGGGTGGCACCCGCTCCTCGCAGATGCCTGCTAGCCAGCTGCCTCCCACTCTGTGTTGGCATGCTCTTCTGCGCTCTCGGTCTTGCATCGGGGGGGAGGGGGAGGAGGGTCGCAGGATCGGGGGAGGACCGCAGGATCGGGGGATAGCTCGGAGAAGGGGGAGGATGATCGCAGGATCGGTGCGGAAGGATTGAAGGAAAACGAAGAGGATCGCAGGATTGGGGATCGGGGGATGATCGCAGGATCGCGTGAGGCACATCGGATTGGAAGGAACAACGGCATCACAAATTCTCGGAGGTCCCTGCGGATTGCC